AGGGGGGGTCCGGGTTCGCCGGCCCGGGGGGGTCCGGTTCGCCGGGCCTGGGGAAGGAGCACGCCGCGGGTCCGGCATCACGAGCGAGTCTCCGCGCTTGTCGTAAAGCTGAGCCGAAAGACACCTGAATCGCTTTAAAACGGGAGACCTGTGGTTTAGAAAGCGCCGTACGGTACCGGCGTGGCTGAGCTGATGCTCTGGTCCGTGGAAGGTCTGGCTGCTGGGTGTTCTGGTGGGTCTGCTTTTATTCCAGATTTCTGTTACCCGAGCCTTAACAGAGTAGGCCAGTGAGAGCACTGCTTCATTCAGCAGCGCTAATCAAACTTTCACGGCTCAGGTGGTGTGATTTAATCTGCAGCTTCACTGCTATAATGTCTATTAAAAAACTTGGCTTTTTCTCATTTGTTATTCTTAGCTCATTGACACCTTCAAAACGATGCTTTCAGAGGTCAGCTGTGCTTTTTTTGTATCCCTCTTTTCCAGATGAATTTAATTCGTTTAGTGGATTATAAAGTGATTGGGTTTTTTTTCTGTGATTTCTGTATTTTGCTTTTTGGCTCACTTGATACCACACTAAGACAGTAAATCTGTAAATTTGTGTGATCCTTGCTGGTCAAGAGGCCCTAAGCTACCTAAAAAAATTTAATGCAAGTAGTGTATACGTATGCAGTTCCTGGAAGTTTGCTTGCTTTCACTGTCTTTTCTATACATGAAATGTGCTCGAATGGAAAAATACAATAGTGCATTTTTGTGTAACATATAAAACTGGCTTTCCACACCTAGTCTGAATCATTTGTGGGTGTGTTTCGGCACGAAACTTGCTTAGGCAGTAGAACAGGTTCACGTTGCTGTGACTCTGGTGACACAGAGAACTTGGCGGACTAGGTCCTAACCCTGTGTGATACGGAATGGTTAAGGCTTCACTCTGCAGTATCTTTGGAAATAGAAATGTGTAACTTTTATGTGTCTTAAAATCTGTCAACATTAGCTGCAGATGGCATTTATTCTGCCGGTGCTAGTTTTGCTGCAGTCTGAGACCAAGAGGTGATTTTTTTTTTTTTTTCTTTTCCCCCCTGTTTTAAAGCTTCACAATAACCCCTGAGAAAGTGTGCAGCTGCAGGTTTGATCTTGTCCCAGATCTTGCACTAAAGACATCTGGAACAGCTTAGCCTAGTATGCTGTTTACCTTTATAACAGACACACTTTAATTATACTCAATACTTTATGAGAGATTGTATCTTCTTGCCGTAAATTGCACTGTAGGCGGGTCTCTGCTTTAGCAAATGAAAGGAAATACTACCTTTGTGTGTAGGTGGGTAGAGACTCTTGAAAAATAACAATTTTCTTCCTTTTTCTTTGGCATATCTATGCAACTAAATAATGATTTTGCTGTTAATTGTTGGATGTCAGTTGTGATGTGGCCAGTTCCATAGTAGGTCTTCTGGAACATGCTTCACCTCATCTTGTCAGTCTTCCCCCCCCCCC